CTGCCTTGAGTTCTAATTAGTTAAGCAGAGTTTTCTGCAATCCTAGAGGACCACAGGATCCCAGTTAATCTGATTTTTGTTGTTGGTGGTAGTGAAAATTGTTCTCCGAAGCAAAGAACTACACACATTTGAACAAAATACATAGATAAATACAGCAGGACATTATTGAAAACAGCTGCCTTGGAGAGTACAAAATACAGTACAAGTATACAGATGTAATTAAAACATCAAGAAATACTATTGCTCCCATTACAATTCAGGAAACAAGTTCTTTGCGACGGAGAAATAATGGAAATGAGAGTTTCTTCAAGGATACCATAAAAAGATCTATTGTGGATGCTGGGAGTAAAGAAAGCAATTTGAAGTAGACAATCATATGTGTGGCTGAAAATTGAGCGGTAAACTATTCTGACATTGTTGTCGGTCTTTACAATCATGATAGGAAAATCAATTTTTTACTTTTTTGAATATTTCAGCCAATTTCCGCACTACCGCCACAATCGAGTGAGGAAATGCTTTTGCACATGTCTCCTTGCTTTCTAATAAATACAAAACAAAAGACAGTATAGATAAGAGTAATACCAAAAATAAGGTGATAAGGGTATGCAATAAATTAAAAAAGGCAGCTCAAATAAAGGACAGGCATGCACAATTAAAAAAAGAGAGAGATTGTAGAGGAAGGCTGACCTGCCTCTGAAGATGTCACACAAATAATACCTGAAACTTTGCAATGAACATTGTTAATTCCCATTCAATTCAAAGTTACTAGTATATAATGTATCTAAAAACACCTTTTTTTAGAGGGGAAAAGGACTAAATTCGTTCAATTTTAAAAAAATATCATTTTAGGTAAGAATCCATTTAAAATATAGATGAGGCAATTCTTTGGGTGAGGAGACCCAACTTTGTTTTGGGAAGGACAGCTGGACAAATTGGCCGTAGCCAGTCTAGAATGAAATTTGGAGGTGGTAAAACGTTGCTTGGATACCGTTCGTAGTTGCAGAACGTTTGTTGGTTGCTTTCGGCTCCCTCTCAGCAATGCATCTCATGCTCCCTCAAGGACACGCATTGCTCGGGACAATCAATTCCATCACACCACTCTGGCCAACTTTGCTGTGAACGTAATGTGAGGTACTGAGAGAAAATGGACCGAGTTCTAGTTTGTTTTGTTTTTAAATCTCCCAAAAAGCATAACTAATGCTAGACTTCTGGACCCGAGGTTCTCAGCGTCTGTTTGCGTAGAACGCGTCCACTTATTTTGTAAGACAGAAAGAAGCCTTCGATTGCCTTCTCAGTCTTCTCAAGCACCCGAAGCTGTGCTTTCCTTTCTCGTATCACAATTTGAAGATTTCACTTTCCCAAAAAAAAAAAAAACCCAAAAAAACAAAAACCCACAGCCTACAAACTAGATTCCGCTTCGTTTGGACTAGATGAGGCATGGGCAAAGCTGGGCCTTCCAGGTGTTTTGGACTCCTAACTCCTACCATTCCTAACAGCCTCCGGCCCTTTCCTTTTCCCCCTCAGCCACGACTCCAATTTCCACAATTCCTAACAGCCTCAGGCCCCTTTCTTTTCCCCCTCAGCTACTTAAGCTTCTGAGGGGGAAAAGGAAGGGGCCTTAGGCTGTTAGGAATGGTGGGCGTTGGAGTCCAAAACACCTGGAGAGCCCAAATCTGCCCATGCCTAGACTAGACCATCTTTCTAAAGCCTGTGGGAAAGCAGCTCCCATTTCCACCTCCCTACTAAAGAAAGCCATTTGCTCTTTCACCTTATTTGGAGAGAAGGGGAAGAACTCAAGCGAGCAGCCAACAGTCCACTCTGCATTCCTTGTGCTTTATGCCTGTTTCTCTTTAACCTGCCTGTTTGCAATCCCCGTTTATTATATATATTTTTGTCGTCTTGTTTACAAAGGGGGAAAATAAATGCCATGAAAGTTCTTTAGAACCTGCCAGATTGAGAGTTAATTCACTTATCATATTCCAGTTCAGGCACCTGGAGCTTCGCAATTTGGATCTCGTAAAGAGAACAAAACGATCCCGGGAAAAGGGGAAAAGAAGACAATGGTGGACAGTTGGTCCAGATACAGGCTCTCGACTCCCCCTTTTCCTTCTGGGAAGGGCTGGCGGTTGCTCCCTCCCATGCCTCCCCTTTAGCCCCCCTCCCCTTGACACTTTAAAGCCCACCCCCTCAAATTCCTGCTGGGCTAAGACCTCAATTTTTTTCCCCATGTCAGGAGCGACTTGAGAAACTGTAAGTCGCTTCTGGTGTGAGAGACTTGGCCATCTGCAAAGACATTGCCCAGGGGATGCCCGGGTGTTTTGATTTTTTACCATCCTTGTGGGAGGCTTCTCTCATGTCCCCGCATGGGGAGCTGGAGCTGACAAACGGAAGCTCACCTCAATGACTGGTGACAATGAATAACTTCCACCCAAACCTAACCCCTCCCTCACCCCTCTGGATTCAGACAGCACAGCAGTGGCAGCTTCTCCTGCCTTTCCTTCAAGCCCAGCTCAAGGGCTACAGATGGGATGCAGAGCTGGTTTGGGGAAGTGCAGAGGAGGGCAAAGAGAGACCTCCAAAACATGAAGAGTGGTAGAGAAAGAGGGCGAGGAGGATGAGGAGGGCCTTCCCTCCCTCTGTCCTCTTCTTCTAAAATAATAATTTTAAAAAAAACGAGGGTTATCCATAAAGTAAGGTTACAAGGCACGGGAATTTTCTCAGGGGAAGTTGGTATGACTGCCATGTAGCGTAAGCCAGCAGAAGTGAACAAGCAGTGCCAGTCGAACAGTAGCTCATCAACTGGCATTGTGGTGAAGGTTAGAGATGAGTGTCCTCATTTCCGGGGAAGTTGGTATCACTGCTGTGTGGCAGGAAGCCAGAGGAAGCAAATGAGCAGTGCCAGTCGTTAGGAGCTCATCGACTGGCATTGTGGTGGTTAGAGATGAGCAACCTCATTTGGGAGAAGTTGGTATGATTGCCGTGTAACGGGAAGCCAGTGGAAGCAAATGAGCAGTGCTAATCGTCAATAGCTCATTGACTGGCGTTATGATGAAGGTTAGAGATGAACGGCCTCATTCCGGAGGAAGTTGGTACCACTGCAGTGTAGCGGGAAGCCAGCAGAAGCAAATGAGCAGTGCCAGTCATCAGTAGCTCACCGACTGGTGTCGTGAAGTTTCGAGATGAGCATCCTCATTCCATTCCCCTTCAAGTGTGAAGTTCTTAGCACTGTAAGACACTTCCTAAATGCAAAGGGCATGAACACTGCTGCAATTTGTTGTGAAATTGTTTCAATTCATGGAGAGGACGTAATGTCAAGACAGGTATAGAATATATTGTGAGGCCACAAAGAAACTTCACAGAGACATCCAAAAAAATGTTATGGGATGCTGAGGGCGAGAGTCTGTCTCCTTCATGACACTGCTCGTACAACACAAGAGTGGTTGACTTCTTTGGGTTGGGATGTTTTAAGTCACCCCTCTCCCGATCTCGCACCCAGTGACTATCATAAATTGAAGGAACATCTCAGTGGGAAACATTTTCCGATGACAACGAGGTGAAAATCAAAGTGACAAACTGGATGGAAAAAGGTGGACACAGGCATCAAAAAACTCATCCCACGGGTGGCAAGAGTTGTTGACTTCCTTTGATTGGGATGTTTTAAGTCATCCCCTCACAGCCCCGGTGTCGCACCCAGTAACTATCATCCATTCATTAAACTGGAGGAAAACGACAAAGATGAAGTGAAAATTGAAGTGACGAACTGCCTGAGAAAGGTGGAGGGAAACGTCTACGACACAGGCATCCAAAACTTGTCCCACGGATGAACTGAGTGGTGATCTGTTCACTAAAGTCAAGGAATACCTGGGTGGAAAACTCTTTTCCGAAGATGATGGGGAGGAGAAAATCAAAGGGATGCAGTGAGTGTCCTCATTCCAGGGGAAGTTCAAAGGGACGAAGTGGCTGGAGAGAAACGTCTATGACACAGGCATCCAAAACTTGTCCCACGGATGACAAAATATATTGAACTTAGTGGTGATCTGTTCACTAAAGTCAAGGAATACCTGGGTGGAAAACTCTTTTCTGAAGATGATGAGGAGACGAAAATCAAAGGGACAAGGTGAGTGTCCTCATTCCAGGGGAAGTTCAAAGGGATGAAGTGGCTGGAGAGAAACGTCTATGACACAGGCATCCAAAACTTGTCCCACGGATGACAAAATATATTGAACTGAGTGGTGGTCTGTTCACTAAAGTCAAGGAACACCTGGGTGGAAAACTCTTTTCTGAAGATGATGAGGAGGTGAAAATCAAAGGGACGAAGTGGCTGAAAAAGGCGGAGGGCATCCAAAACACAGGCATCCAAAACTTGACACAGGCATCCAAAACTTGTCCCACAGATGAACTGAGTGGTGACCTGTTCACTAAAGTCAAGGAACACCTGGGTGGAAAACTCTTTTCTGAAGATGACGAGGAGGTGAAAATCAAAGGGATGAGATGAGTGTCCTCACTCCAGGGGAAGTTCAAAGGGACGAAATGACTGGAGGGAAACGTCTATGACACAGGCATCCAAAACCTTTCCCACGGATGGCAAATTGAATTGAACTGAATGGTAATCTGTTCAGTAAACACCTGAGTGGGAAACACTTTTCTGATGATGGATGAACTGAATGGTGACAGCGTGGAAAAATAACGTCATAGCTATGCTACGATCTGAAATAGTCATTGAAAGAATCTTGTAACCTTGCTTTCTGGATATCTCTCGAATAAGCATGGAAGTCCGTAGGTTGGTAGAGAGTCGGAAGAGGCCCTTTCCTGAGATGGCCAAACGCAAGGAGGTCCCAGGGCAGGAGGGCGTTGGGAGGCTGGAATTCATCCCAGGGGGAAACAAAGAAGAAGGTGATGATATAGAGAAGGGGGGAGAAGGTTGAGAGAGATCTCCAGACTCTCTATCCGAGGAGGAGGAGGAAGCAGAGGAGGAAGAGAGACCTTTTGGTGGGGGTGTTTGCAGGAGACAGCTCTCCAGGCTCCCTCTCTCTCGTTCTCTCTCTCTCTCTGGGGAAGCAGGGCCAGGCCGGGGCTCAGTCGTCGTCCACGTCGTCGGCGTCGGAGTCGTCCCCGGCGCCGCTCCCGCTCCCGGGCCCCGCCGGTCCGGCCCGCCGGTCGTAGAGCTTGTCCCGCTGCCGCTCCTGGATGTCTCGCATCTCGTCGGCGTAGCGGCAGAAGGCGCCGCCGAACTTGGCCCAGGCCTTGTAGGGCACGGTGATGGCGTTGCGGTACGAGGGCTTGACCTCGCTGACGCGGAGGAAGACGCCGTACTTGTTGCAGCCCACGTCGAAGAAGAAGCGCTTGGAGTCCACGGTGATGGAGGTGCCTTCGGGGAGCTCGCCGTAGAGGCCCCCCGCGCCCGGCCCGGCCCCGCCGCCGCCGCCCAGCTCGTCCTCGTCGGCGCCGTAGTCGTCGATGAGCTTGGCCAAGGCGTCGCGGAACTCGATGAGGCCCTGGGCCGGGAGGGCGATGGTCTGCCCGCTCTGCAAGCCCGCCGGCCCGCCCGGGAAGCCCGGCCCGCCGCCGCCGCCGCCTCCCCCGCCGGGCCCGCGGTTGATGGTCTGCCGGATGCGGAGGAAGCGCCCGCGCTGGTTCTCCTTCAGGTCCAGGTAGTACTTGCGGTTCTCCCGCACCAGGAACTCGCTCTTCAGCGCCCGGCGCGGCCCTCCGCCGCCCCCGCCGCCTTCCTCGCCGCCTCCGCCTCCCGGGGAGCTCTGGGCCAGCTGCTCCGGGGAGCTGGGCCCCAGCTGGGCGTAGTGCTCGATGAAGTCGCCCAGGTAGTCGCGGAACTCGGCGGCCACGGCCATGGAGAGCGTGAGGCGGCTCTTGGAGCCCCCCGCGCCCACCTCCGCGATCTTCAGGAAGCGCCCCTTCGCGTTCTGCTTCACGTCCAGGTAGAAGCGCTTGTTCTGGATGTCCAGCCGCTTCGAGGCCAGCTCCTGCGTCTCCTGCTCCGGACCGCCGCCTCCTCCTCCTCCACCGCCGCCTCCTCCTCCTCCACCGCGGTGTCCCTGGAAGCCAGCACTGCCGCCGCCGCCGCCACCGCCTCCGCCGCCTCCTCCGCTGCCGCTCCCGCTGCCCCCTCGCTCGCTCCCGCTGTCCCCGTCCGCCATCTTCTCGTCCTCCTTCGCCCCTCGCTTCCTTCTCCTCCTCCTCCTCCTCCTTCGGCAGCCGTTGTCAGGCCCCGGCCCTGCCTTCCTCCCTTCTTTCCTTCCTTCCTTCCTGCCTGCCTTCCGTCCGCCCGCTCCGGCTCCTTCGCCTTCTCCTCACGCACTCGCTCTCCCTCTCCCTCTCTCGCTTCCCTCCTCCTCGCTCTCAAGCTCTCTCTCTCGCTCTCGCGCGCGCGCACGTAGGCACACACACTTTCCCCCCTTCTTCTCACGCACTCGCTCTCCCTCTCCCTCGCTTCCCTCCTCCTCTCTCTCTCTCGCGCGCACGTACTCGCACACACACTTTCCCCCCTTCTCCTCACGCACTCGCTCACACTCTCTCGCTTTCCCTCCTCCTCTCTCTCTCGCTCTCGCGCGCGCACGTATGCACACACGCTTTCCCCTTCTCACGCACTCGCTCTCCCTCTCTCCCTCCTCCTCGCTCTCTCTCGCTCTCGCGCGCGCGCACGCACACACACTTTCCCCCTTCTCCTCACGCACTCCCTTCCCTCTCCCTCTCCCTCTCTCTCTCTCGCTTCCCTCCTCCTCTCTCTCGCTCTCTCTCGCGCACGTACTCGCACACACTTTCCCCCCTTCTCCTCACGCACTCGCTCTCTCTCCCTCGCGCGTCCCTCCTCCTCGCTCTCTCTCTCTCTCTCTCTCTCGCGCGCGCGCGCGCGCACACACTCTCTCCCCTCCGCCACGCGCACACGCACTCAGATGGAACCACACTTCCGGTGAGCGACGGCGCAAGCGAGCCGGACGCGTTCCTGTAACTCTAAGAAGCACCGCCTCCCTCCTTCCCGTCTGCATTGATTGATTGACTAGTCGTCCCCTGCCACGCGTTGCTGTGTGGCCCACATGGGGGTTTTGTGTGGTAAATTTGGCCCAATTCTATCCTTGGTAGGGTTGAGAATGCTCTGTGATTGTAGGCGAACTAATTTTTATTTATTTATCGGGTCAGGAGCAGACCAAACAGTTGTATTGCACTTTGCCAGTGATTTAAGATTGCCTGCACATTGCACCTACCCTAAAATCCTTACATTTTACCTGTCACGTCATGCCAGAAGGGACAGAGAGTTTCATCTATGCTGATGATCGTGCCATTACTGCTCAAGCAGGGACCTTTGAGATGGTAGAACAGAAGCTTTCCGAAGCTCTAGGTGCTCTTACTGCCTATACAGGGAAAACCAGCTGATCGCTAACCCATCCAAAACACAGACATGTGCCTTTCACCTTAAGAACAGACAAGCATCCCGAGCTCTGAGGATTACCTGGGAAGGAATCCCACTGGAACATTGCAACGCACCCAAATACCTGGGAGTTACTCTGGACCGTTCTCTGACCTACAAGAAGCACTGCCTGAACATCAAACAACAAGTGGGCACTAGAAACAATATCATACGAAAACTGACTGGCACAACCTGGGGATCACAACCAGACACAGTGAAGACATCTGCCCTTGCACTGTGCGACTCTGCTGCTGAGTACGCATGCCCAGTGTGGAACACATCTCACCATGCTAAAACAGTGGATGTGGCTCTTAATGAGACATGCCGCATTATCACGGGGTGTCTGCGCCCTACACCACTGGAGAAGGTGCCCCCAGTGGCGCAGTGGGTTAAAGCACTGTGCCAGCAGGACTGAAGACCGACAGGTCACAGGTTCGAATCCAGGGAGAGGTGGATGAGCTCCCACTATTAGCTTCAGCTCCTCATGCGGGGACATGAGCGAAACCTCCCAGAAGGATGATAAAACATCAAAAAAAAATCATCCAGGCGTCCCCTGGGCAACGTCCTTGCAGACGGCCAATTCTCTCACAACAGGAGCGGTTGCTCCTGACACGACAAAAAAAAAAAAAAACCACTGAAGAAGTTACACTGTTTAGCCGGTATTGCACCACCTGACATCCGCCGGGAAGTAGCAGCCAATAGTGAAAGGACCAAGGCAGAGACATCTCCAGCACATCCCTTGTTTGGGTATTGGCCAGCATGTCAATGACTTAAATCAAGAAATAGTTTTCTTAGATCTACAGAGACACTCACTGGAACACCTCAGCAAGCGAGAGTCCAAAAGTGGCAGGCTCAAACCCAGAACCTCAACCAATGGCTGATACCAAATGAGAGACTCCCCCCTGGGCACACAGAGGACTGGGTGACTTGGAAGGCGCTGAACAGGCTGCGCTCTGGCACCACGAGATGCAGAGCCAACCTTCAGAAATGGGGCTACAAAGTGGAATCCTCGACATGCGAGTGTGGAGAAGAGCAAACCACCGGCCACCTGCTTCAATGCACCCTGAGCCCTGCCACATGCACAAGGGAGGACCTTCTTGCGGCAACACCAGAGGCACTCCAAGTGGCCAGCTACTGGTCAAAGGACATTTAATCAACTACCAAACTTCACAAATTTTGTATTTTGTCTGTCTGTCTGTTTGCTTGCTTTGTTCTGTTAGAAATGTAATATATTTGACTGGTTGTCCTGACACGACAAATACAAATAAATAACCTGTCATGTCCAGCACTTTTAATTTATTCATTACATTTGGCCCAGCCCTAGTTTTAAATGTGTCATGATTTATTGTTTTGATGTTTTATTGTTATTGTTTTAATGTTTATTGGTTTGCTTTATGAGTTTTATTGTTTTATTTGTTATGCTGTTGTTTTATTGAGGGCCTTGGCCTTTGTAAGCCGCACTGAGTCCTTCGGGAGATGTTTGTTGTTGTTGTTCATTCGCTCAGTCGTCTCCGACTCTTTGTGACCTCATGGACCAGCCCACGCCAGAGCTCCCTGTCGGCCGTCACCTCCCCCAGCTCCTTCAGAGTCAAGCCAGTCACTTCAAGGATGCCATTCATCCATCTTGCCCTTAGTTGGCCCTCTTCCTTTTTTCTTCTATTTTCCCCATTATCATTGACTTCTCTAAGTTTTTCTGTCTCCTCATGATGTGGCCAAAATACTTCAACTTTGTCTCTAATATCCTTCCTTCCAATGAGCAGTCGGGCTTTATTTCCTGAAGTATGGACTGGCTGGATCTTCCGGCGGTCCAAGGCACTCTCAGAACTTTCCTTCAACACCACAAACAATATCTGATTCAATTTACAATACGGAACTCTTACACATTCACAGTTTCTCTCATGACTTGGTTCTGGGGGCAGATTTGGTGTCTCTGCATGGGAGCAGTCAAATATCTATTTGTAATTCCAGGTTTTTAGCCAAGTTTAAGTTGGTTTTGGAGATGGATTTCAATCAACCTCCCTCCAAAACTCTTTCCATAAGGATACAAGATTAAACCAAGTTCTGGGACATATATTATTTCAGTCATGGGAAAAGGGAGTTCAAAAGAAAACCAACCTGGACACCCATACAGAGCTCAGGAAGCCAACTGAAAAGCGTGGGCCTCCTTTTCCAGGACAGCAATTTGCATTTTTTAAAATACTGAAACCAATACTGCAAAAGTTTCCCTGTAGAGAAGTTGAAGGCTTGTTGACATGGACATCTGCTGGCCCCTGTGACAGTTGTGTCCAGCCCAATGAGAGGGATTTAGGCGCAGGCTGAGATAATGGGTGCCTCCAACCCTATTAGGATCACTTTCCCCAGCTGCTCTGGCAGAGAAAGGGGGAAAGAAAGCAGGTCACCCAGGGCCAAAGGCCTCTTCATTTGTGGCAGCATTACTATGGCATCATGTACCCAGCTTTTCAGTGCTACTGGACTATTTATTTACTTACTGTATTTGTATGCCACCTTTCTCAGCCTTTTGACGACTATGGCTAATGCTGAAAAAAAGAGACGATCCAGAGTGACTGCCAAGCTCCTTGTCTGGGAATGCTGAACATACTGCATCTCTGATGACCTGCTTAAGAGACACTGATATAGATATAGGTATGAGGGAGCAAACATGCTGCATTGCTTTGAGTGCTGAACTATGGAAACAAAGAGGTCAAATGGGGGATGCCTCGCTCGAGAGCAGTACATGTGAAAAAGATCTTGGAGTCCTCGTGGACAACAAGTTAAACATGAGCCAACAATGTGATGTGGCGGCAAAAAAAGCCAATGCGATTTTGGCCTGCATCAATAGGAGCATAGTGTCTAGATCTAGGGAAGTAATGCTACCCCTCTATTCCGCTTTGGTTAGACCACACCTGGAATATTGTGTCCAATTCTGGGCACCACAATTCAAGAGAGATATTGACAAGCTGGAATGTGTCCAGAGGAGGGCGACTAAAATGATCAAGGGTCTGGAGAACAAGCCCTATGAGGAGCGGCTTAAGGAGCTGGGCATGTTTAGCCTGAAGAAGAGAAGGCTGAGAGGATATGATAGCCATGTATAAATATGTGAGAGGAAGCCACAGGGAGGAGGGAGCAAGCTTGTTTTCTGCTTCCCTGGGGACTAGGACGTGGGACAATGGCTTCAAACTACAAGAGAGGAGATTCCATCTGAACATGAGGAAGAACTTCCTGACTGTGAGAGCCGTTCAGCAGTGGAACTCTCTGCCTCGTAGTGTGGTGGAGGCTCCTTCTTTGGAAGCTTTTAAACAGAGGCTGGATGGCCATCTGTCAGGGGTGATTTGAATGCAATATTCCTGCTTCTTGGCAGGGGGTTGGACTGGATGGCCCATGAGGTCTCTTCCAACTCTTTGATTCTATGATTCTATGAAATCTCCATTCAGCCAAGGAAACCCACTGGGTGACCTTAAGTAACACTCTCTCAGCCTCAGAGGAAGGTAATGGGAAACCTCTTCTGAATAAATCTTGCCAAGAAAATCCTATTGAAAAGAAGAATGAACAAACTTCAGGCAGGGTGGACCTTTATTTTATCATCCCACCGCGGTCACCATTAAATATATGAGGCACTCAAACTTGTTGCGTGGCGGGAGAGACCTTTTATTTTAACACATGAAAACTGATTTCTAACTATCTTTAACCTGACATAGAGATCCTGACCACTTAGTCCTTTAAAACCTCTCTACTGTTGTTAGCTTCCTACTATCAATCAACTACCCTAGCTAATTCTCCAGCTGCTTTCATTAACTACCTCACTGACTCCAGCTCACTGTCCAACTCACTTCACTGACTCCAGCTAACTCACCAACTGACCCTTTTCAAACCAACATTCCTTTTTTCAGTGACAGTGTCTCCTCCCCTTTCTCTTCTTCCTAGGGAGCTGTGTTGCTGAGGCAAAGTCCTAACTCAAGCCACCCATCAGCTGACAATAATCAACATATTTAAAACCTACATTTTAATTATGCATTTCAGTACAGCTCCACCATTTGTCAGAAATGACATCAGGGCATATATACACAGCTGTATGAGATATGAGATTTCTGATATTGTGTTCTATCAGAAATTGGAGGCAGATTAGTGAAACCATCAAGGAGAGGTGCAGTTTTCTGACAAATGTGCTACACAGCGGTATTACTCAAAGTGACAGAACGGCAAATAGTGAGTTGACAGGAAGGAAAGAAAATTGTACCCCGGGCCCTGCCTATCTCCGCAATCGCATCTCCTTCTATGAACCGGCGTGAGCTCT